GGGATAATCACTAAGGTATTCATTTCAGCCTGCTCCCCAGTGTGGAAACTCACATCAAAACATAAACTCCTGTTTTCTGATTAACAAAGAAGTCTTTTAAGACATCTGTGAGATGCCTTCAGAGAGCATGGTGAGGAGCTGTAAAATGTAACCTTTCACTTCTAAAAAGGCCACTTTCTCACTGGTTGCCTTACTTGATAATTTGTTGTTCTGCTCATAATATTTAAAGTAGCATCTGTGATTTTCTTTTCCCCTGAAGGAATAAATACTTGTAAGATTTCCTTATTTTATCTTTTGGTTTACCAGAAGAACTTGGTATTCTTCTCTTTTCCTTTCATGCATAAAGTATAAATAAACGATGCATCTCTGGTTCAAACAAAATTTTAAAATCTTTGTCTTATTTAAATTATCACACCCAAATTCAGCTGGTGGATAAGAGCCACAAAAGTATGGGACAAACTCATCTGCTAGGGAACAAAAGAGAGGAACTATTTTTAAAAGGTTTTTAAAAATTAATTACACGTATATATTAATTCAGAACTGTTTTTCCCCCCTCTACCTTCTTCCTAAATTGGAGAGGTCAGAATCTGGCTTAACTCAACTGGCCTCGTTACCATCATGTTCCACTTAAATCCTTGTGCAGACAGCATTTATTGGGTTCTCTGCTGTTTACAGGAAGCTCTGCTCTGCTCCTGGGCCACAGACCGAGTCCTATCCCCACTGATCCACTTAATACATGTATTGTGATTGACAGTCAATAGCCTAATCTTTGTTATAACAGATAGAGCATCATTCTTATTGTTGATAGATTATCATTCCCAGATTTCACTTAGTACAAATGGGACACGTCTTTTTCTTCTTCAAACACAAAACTCCAATCCACCTAATCTGTTCGGTCCACTGAAATGCTGCTTCTCCTCAGCTGTGTTTTACCTGCCAACATGTATTTAAAAACGAGGTAGACAAACCGAAGAAAGTCCAGTGCAACTTACTGTTAGTGGATACGAATGGACTTTTTGCTGTGAAATTTGAGTCATGTTTGAGCAATGAAATAAACAGAAACTAAAATGCACAGCAAGCACAAGAATCAGCCCTTAATCAGTATCTTTCAAAAAATAATTTCAGCTAAGAAAAAAATCTATTCACCTGCACAACATGCTGACTCTCAAAAGAATGACTGACATCATTCCATTTTGAAAAAAGAGCTTAAAAAAAAAAAGACTCCTCTGCTTGCCTTCATAGAAAAGGGTAATTTGTTTCTTGATTAAATGTATATTACAGGAAATAAAAGCCAAAAGAAGAAATACAAATCAGCGTAATTAAGAAGAGTCTTTTAAAATAAAACACTGAATGTGAGGGTGCTTTATTACCTGTAAAGCCCCACACAAATGCAAAGTAGGATTAGAATCACCTCTGATATCAGGGTTGCCTCTACCCCAGTAAAAGTCTTCCTAGGGTTGAAGTCGGTGTCTGGGATGTTGTCATGCCCACAACTGCAGAAGCCAGAGTAAGAAATAAAAAAGAACCACAATGCCCTCCAATCCAGTTGCCACTGGAGTCCCTCAGTGCCCCCCCTCACGAGGCCTCTCCCAGGCCGGGGTGACACCTCCTAGTAGCCATTCCTGCCCAGCGGGGGACCAGCTTATCCGGAAACTCCGCAGGG